TCAGACACACTTTATGGTAGCATGCCCACCTCACCCCGCTTGGTGGTCCACGTGGAGAGAGAGAATCTTTAATGCTCCCAAAGCTTTTATATTCTCTGGGGACATGCAAGCCCCCTAATTACAGGTGAAGACATACGTCACAGGAAAGGGTTGTGCTATAGGTATTACAATAATCTGGAGGGGGTGGTCTAGGGACATACACGCAATAGGAAGAGGAGGGATTGGGGGCACACATGTGACAAGATGGGTGGATCCTAGAATTAGGATGGCAGTTTAATTTTGGATATCACAGAGCCGGTTTGACTTGTTCCTGGCTCAACTGAGAGAGACTATTATCAGTAGGATGTGAACTCCTACTGGAGCCTGTCCATTGTCCCCAGCAGCAGGGAGTGGGGAGACACTATGTCCCCAATGGTGTGGAGAGACAGCAGTCTGGCAGCCGGGAGGGTGTTTGTGAGCTGACCTACCCCCACAGGGCGTCACCATGGGTCAGCATAAACTTGATGGCAACTAGTGACAACAAGGTCCCTTCCAGTCAGGGCTTGGCCCACTGTTAGTACTCAGAGCAGCCACCTGGCTCCTCCTCAGGCAGGGAGCAAGTCCAGTGTGGCCCTCACTGACTGCTCCATCCCCATGCATATCAATGAACTATCTCCCTGCACACTGGCTTTCTCCTCCCCGCTTACTGTTACAGTCTGAAGCTTTTGAAGGCTTTGTTTGCTTCTTTATTTTCATGAGGATGCCCTGGTGGCTTCGTGATTACACTTCGTGGTAGTTGGAAACCACCAGCAGCTCCTCAGGAGAAAGACTGGGCTTTCTACTCCCGTAGACAGTTAGGATCTTGGAAACCCCACCGGGGTTGAGGTGGGTGGGGCTGGGTTTGCTACGAGTCAGCATTGATTCGATGGCAGCGAGTTTGTTTCTTGTCTGTTATTTTCACAAGAGCAGGGTCCTCCTTGGTTTTGTTTTCACTCGGTCCTCAGCCTCTAGCATAGCACTGGGCACATAGTAGGTGTTCCCTTTTGCTGAATGGATGGAAGAATAATCTTCTTAAATCCCCACAACGGCCTCACGTGGTAGTGTTTTAGAGGAAAGAGGGTTACAAATGCTCTCCTCTTCTCAAGGAGAGGTGGAAGCGATTTTAAGCCTCTCTGACTGTGGTCATTTCTTTTCGCCATGGGCACTTCTGAAGCTGGGCCTTCCAGGCTCTGCGGGGGTCTTTTAGAACAAGACTGACCTGTGGAAGCCAGCTGCCGTTTAACAAGTCCAATTACCCTGAGACCACCATGCATCCAGGAAGCCCAAGCTAGCCACTTGGAGAGAGAGCTACCTGCCCGACGTGTGAGTGAAGGGCCTTCTTGCTCATCCAGCCCCATCGAGCCCTCAGATGACTCCAGCTCAGCTTTCTGAACACAGTAACCATGGGAGACAGCCCAGCTGGTTCCAGTCCACAGGCTCGCCGGGAGAGGATAATAATACAACTTGGCAGTTACTGAGTTATGGAGTGGTTTGTTACACAACCGGGCAGGAACCTTCTCTTCATTTTTCAGATAAACTAAACCAAAGCACGAAAGGTCAGATGCCTTGACAGAGGTCACTTAGCCTGAAGTGGCAGGGTGGGCACTCCAACTGAGATCCTCTCCACTGCCTGTCCTTTAACCCCCAGGCTCCTCCTTGCTGCGGCTTTCTATTTGGCTATTGTGATTCCATCGCTGGTGTCAGGCTTGCACTGAGAGCTAGTCCTGAGAACTCTTTTCTTTCCCCCTGTAGATCTTTATAGACAATGAATGGCACGATGCCGTCAGCAAGAAAACCTTCCCCACCATCAACCCGTCCACTGGAGAGGTCATCTGTCAGGTGGCTGAAGGGGACAAGGTGAGAACCCATTTCGTACTTCAGGGTGAGGGTGAGCGGGGTGGGGGATGGAAAGGGTGCCTTCATTGTTATTACGGTAATATGTCTATCTATCTATCTATCTATCTATCTATCTATCTATCTATCTATCTATCTATCTATCTATCTATCTATCTATCTATCTATCTATCTATCTATCTATCCATACACACACACACTGTCGTGCCTGGTTTCCAAGGCAGTCAGGACCACACCATACTGGTGGAATGAGGAGGTATATTGGAGCCGGTGACCGTGAGTCAGCTCTTGCTTTATGTCTCTCGGTCAGAGTGCTACTCAAACTCGGGTTTATAAAGCAACCAGCCACGAGTGGAGGGGGTGACTTTTCGTGTCCAATCACAACTGCCCACACTGACTGGTGGGGGCAGGGGAGGAATGAACAGCTAGGGAACTTCCCCCTGGTATTCGTTATGGGGGTGGGCAGCAGCCCGCCAAAATTTTGAATCCGGTGGTTCTGGGCAGGACAGCTAATGCAGAAGTAGCGAGCTTAAGAAAAAGACAGAAGTGAGAGTCAGCAGGTTAGCATGGGAGCCTTAGGGGACTTCACCGCAAGTGGGGGAAAGGCAAGCCCCCCCCCAACTAATCGTGGTTCCATATATATATATATATACACCGTACAATTGTTTTATATATATATATGTATATAAAACAAAGTCATAGAGAATAGGGAGTGATAGAAGAGAGATAGAAATAATGGAGTCAGACACATTTCATGGTAGCATGCTCACCTCAGCCTGGCTCGGTGGTCCTTGTGGAGATGGGAGACTGGAGGGCAGGAGAGACGGGGAGGGTAGGAGGACAAGGGGAAAGGGAACAGGGGAGCTAGGACCAGGGGAGAGGAAGGGGAAGTGGAGAGCCAGGGAGAGAGCTCTTTATTGCTAACCCAGGCTTACATATCTTTGGGGGACGTGAAAGCCCCCTAATTATAGGTAAAGACATACATCACAGGAAGGGGTTGTACTATAGGTAATACAGTTATGGGAGGGGGACAACCTAGGGGTACACGCGCTATAGGAAGAGGAGGGGTTAAGGGTACACATGTGACAAGATGAATGGATGCTCGATTCAGGATGGCAGCCTAACTTTGGATGTCACTGAGCAGGTTTGACCTGGTCTCTGGATCTCCATAGAAACCATTATCAGTAGGGTGTGAACCCCACCTACAGGGACCAGACTTTAGGGAGAAGTAGCCCATTGTCCTTAACAGCAGGGAGTGGGCCCTACCTGTGGTGGGACCAGACAATATAGTCTTGGAGGCTGCCTGCATCTCACCTCCCATCATGTGCTGGCAAAATAGCCTCTAATGTGTGGCATATCTTTGGGGGAGACAAAGCTGGGGAAAAGTCTGCTCATAATCCCACAAACGCATACTGTATCTATAACAAGATGTTTGTCACTTCAACATTGCTTTACGTAGTTTGGCGACACTGATACATGATGCTGGGTGACCACTCCCTCGACGATTCGTGCTGCCTTCGTGATTTTCTTCTTCTGCTGTGTGCTTGAGACTTTATCACGTGCATTTTCACCCATTTGAAAACTGAGTTCATGCATGCACAGATGATGTTCCCCATAGAAAAGGTAGAACAGTTACTAGCTTGTCCCTGGTTCGGGTCCTTTCTATGCAGTTGTGGGCTTGTAGACTTGGGAGTCAATGTGAGCGAACATCTAACCCATTCTCTGTTCTCCAGTCCTGAAACGTGAAAGTCAGCTGGGGGTAGGTGCACAGCTACACAGAAGTCATGGAAGAAGTCTGCTTGAGTAGAATGTAGGTCTTCTGAGATCTAGCTGGGGGGAGAGCGGGGTTGGTGACATAAGCAGTCGCTGGGTGACAAACAGGATCTGTCCCGAACTGTGTCTTTAAGTCAGTTGGAAGGGTGCTTAGGGTTGGTTCTCTTAGCCTGACTTTAGTGCAAGAAAAGGCTGCAAGCCTTTCA